AGTTGATATGTGCCTTGTTAAGTGAATTTACAGATTATGTTCTCTAGTTGTAACTAAATGAACTCTCACACAACACATGAATGGCTCAAAAAGCTCTATGCAAACAAATCAAGGATTGAAAGTAATGCAAATAATGCAAGCACAAGAGAAAAGAAAGAAAACAGTAGAGTTTATGTTTCTTCTTCCCCTAGTATAAGCTCTTGAACAGCAACACGACCTGGGTAAAAACAATAATGATCTAATTCAATACTTTCAAAAGTGTTTGAAAAAAGTGTTCCACATCGTGATTCAGTATTTAGATATGTATACATATACATGTAAATATATACAGATATAAACATATAAAATTGAAATAAGTCTTTCAAAACAATGTTTATTAACAATGTACTCTGACATTTTCTCTTCTATTAAAAATGATATTAATTATTAATATTATAATTCATCAGTAAGTTGTGATATGCAGTTTGAAAAATACCTATACAATCAGATCCAAGGAGAAATCAGCCACACAAAATTAAAATTAAGAAGACTACCTAAATATAGATTAACATCCATTACTGTTAACCATCAATCTCACCACAAGAGCATATTTTTCCCCTTAGAAATTGGCTAATGGTAGCATGAAGTCATCACAATTTGCAAAATATTTAAAAAACTAAGTATCCAGACCACGAAAACAAACCACTACCATATTTTTCAGTAATATTAAAAACCAATAGACAACACTAAATTCACTACTTTACAAAATTTTACTAAACTTGATGCATATTTAAAAGTTTCTTTTAAGATCTCTTATTAATTCAGTAGTATATGTATATAATCTGTAAACATATATATATATACACAGGCACAGGCATATATGGACAGTCTTACCATTTCTTTGCTGAGGTGATGTATGAACAAATAAGTTTGGAGACCACAATTATAGCTCACAGAATTTGTCTACCCTGTACCTTCATTATCCGTCAGTGGATTTCCAGGACCCTAGAACTGACTACTGTGCTTTTCCACCTTGTTTCTCCTGCTATTGTCTAAACTCAATGTTCACAGTCCTTTATTACCTGAACGACCAGCCTGGAAACTGTACCTACTTTGTGAAGTCCTTCTCCCCAAAGCAAATGATTGATGGACATAAGACATCATAAGACCAGGTCACATCATAGTTATTCCCATGCACAAGCCTTGTACGAATCGGTGCATTTTGATTCTACTTACTCCACAATCTGGCTATTCTTTAGAAAAATCAAATATGTGAAAGAATCTGGTATGTCTCAATCATTACTCAGTTTACCAGTTAGATAATCCGCACTGGAGATTTAGAGAGAGATAAACAAACCTGGACTAGTCATATTAGATACATGAACCTCAGCCAATGTCTTAGCCTCTCTTTACCTCAGTTTTCATATTCATAAAATGCTGAAAATACACACTTATATGTAATCCTATTATAGGGATTAATTAGAAAATCTAGGGGATGCACTTTAGCACACTTCTCAGCATAGAATGAGTACTCCATTAGTTGCGGCTGCTGTCATAGCTGTCTTTCCTGTGGAGATTTAGTTCTGTGTAGCACATCTTCATATGCTGTATATAATTCACATAGATGTGCTTTAAAAAATCATATTCAATGGTAAAAAGTTGAAAGCTTTTCCTCTAAGATCAGGAACAAGAAAAGGATGCGTACTCTCACCACTTTTATTCAACATAGTACTGAAAGTCCTAGCCAGAGCAATTAGGCAAGAAAAAGAATTGGAAAGGAAGAAGTAAAACTGTCACTATTTGCAGATGACGTGATATAATATACAGGCATACCCTGGAGATATTTCGGGTTCAGTTCCAGACCACAGCAATAAAGTGAATAACACAATAAAGTGAGTCACACAAATTTTTTGGTTTCCTAGTGCATATAAAAGTCATGTTTAGCAGCCAGCCCCATGGCCAAGTAGTTAAGTTCATGCGCTCTGCTTTGGCAGCCCAGGGTCTCAGTGGTTTAGATCCTGGGCATGGACACGGCACGACTCATCAAGCCAAGCTGAGGCAGAGTCCCACATAGCACAGCCAGAGGCACTCACAACTAGAATATACAACTATGTACTTGGGGGCTTTAGGGGGAGGGGGAGGGGGAGAAGAAGAAAGAGAAGATTGGCAACAGATGTTAGCTCAGGAGCCAATCTTTAAAAAAATAATATTGTCATAAAAATTTTTTTTGAAGTTATTTTTACACTATACTGTAATCTATTAAATGTGCAATAGCATTATGTCTAAAAAAACCAATGCACATACCTTAATTAAAAAATACTTTATTGCCAAAAAAGTGCCAACCATCATCTGAGCCTTCAGCAAGTTGTAATCATTTTGCTGGTGGAGGATCTTGTAAAAAAAAAAAAAAATGCAGTACCTGTGAACTGCAACAAAGCAAAACATGACAAAATGAGGTACGTCTGTAGAGAAAAGCCTAAAGACTCCATTAAAAAAACTGTTAGGATAAACAAATTCAGTAAAGTTGCAGAATACAAAAACAATACACAAAAATCTGTTGTGTTTCTATAAACTAATAACAAAATATCAGAAAGAGAAATTAAGAAAATGATCTCATTTATAATTGTATCAAAAATAATAAAATACTTAGGAATAAATTTAACCAAGGAGGTGAAAGACTTGAATATTGAAAACTACAAGACATTAATGAAAGAAACTGAAGAAGACAAATAAATGGAAAGATAGTCCATGCTCATGGATTGGAAGAATTAATATTGTTAAAATGTCCATACTACTCAAAGCAATATACAGATTCAATGAAATCTCTATCAAAATTCAAATGGCATTTTTCACAGAAGTAAAAAAAATCCTAAAATTTGTATGGAACCACAAAAGACCCCAAAAAGCAAAAGCAATCTTGAGAAAGAGGAACAAAGCTGGAGGCATTATACTTTCTGATTTCAAACTATATTGCAAAGCTATAGTAATCAAAACAGTATGGCATTGGCATAAAAACAGAGATCAATGGAACAAAACAGAGAGCCCAAAAATAAACCTACGCATATGGGGTCAAGTAGTTTATGACAAAGGAGACAAGAATATACAGTGTCTCTTCAATAAATTATGTTGGGAAAACTGGACAGCAACATGCAGAAGAAGGAAACTCGACCACTATCTTACACCATACACAAAAATTAACTTAAAATGGATTAAAGACTTGAACGTAAGACCTGAAACCATGAAACTTCTAGAAGAAAACACAGGTGGTAATCTCCTTGACATAGGTCTCGGCGATGATTTTTTGAATCAAAGACCAAAAACAAAAATAAAAAAGCAGGACTACATCAAACTAAAAACTTCTACACAGCAAAGGAAACCACCAACAAAATGAAAAGGCAACCTACTGAATGGGAGAAAATAATTGCAAATCATGTATCTGACAAGGGGTTAATATCCAAAATATATAAAGAACTCATATAACTCAATAGCAAAAAAACAAACAATCTGATTAAAACATAGGCAGAAGATCTGAATAGACATTTTTCCAAAGACAACATACAGATAGCCAATAGGTACATGAAAAGATGCTCAACATCATCAATCATCAGGGAAATGCAAATCAAAACCACAAAGAGGTATCACCTCACACCTGTTAGAATGGCTATAATCAAAAAGACAAGAAATTACAAGTGTTGGAGATAATACGAAGAAATGGTAACCCTTGTACATTGCTGGTAGAAATGTAAATTGGTGCAGCCACTATGGAAAACAGTGTGCAGGGTCCTCAAAAAACTAAAAATAGAACTACCATATGATCCAGTAATTCCATTTCTGAGTATTTATCCAAAGAAAATGGAAACACTAACTTGAAAAGATATCTGCATCCCCATGGTCATTACAGCATTATTTACAATAGCCAAGATATGGAAACAACCTAAGCATACATTGATGGATGAACGGATAAAGAGGATGTGGTATACATATACAATGGAATATTATTAAGCCATAAAAAGAAAAAATCTTGCTATTTATGATAATATGGATGGACCAAGGGCAATAAATTGAAAACAATTATAAAGGGAAAAACATATATGCATTCATATACATGTATACATACATGCATGAATTTAAATAATACATGTATGTGTTTATGTTTATATATACATGGCTTTGAATATTAATATACACACACACACATATACACATAAAATTCAAAATCCTGAGTCCTGAGAGTGAGTGACTCAGCCCAGACACCTGGGAGAGTTCAGCCTCTGGCACTCTGGTACAGGGAAAAGCAGCAATGAGGTAGAGAAGGAGCAGTGAGTAGAGGAGCAGGGTGGGAGGAAGACCAGACAAGTGTGGCAGCCTAGAAGCCTAGAGGAGAAAGGGAAGACGTGGCAGGTTAGAGGAGACGATTGCTGGGATACATAGCTCCCATCTACTCTCTACCAGAGGCTTGTGGAGTAGTAAGAGAGAGCCAGAGGGGCTTACTGGTCACCTCTGATTAGGGGTGTAGCCCCATCCCTCCCCAGCACACAAATTTGGACACTGTCAGTGTCCCATCCTCCAGAATAATGCAGCAAACAGTTTGTTCCCAATGCCACTTACCATGAGGGCGGGAACATCATAGCTTGCTAAGGTGGTTTAATACAGTGTCCAGTCTAGGCAACCTTCAGATGGCCAGAGGTTCACTGTGGGTGGCTGGGAAGGTGCAAGGACTGGGAAGAAACTCCCAGAAGTGTTCAAATACAGGAGGCATTAGTCATTTATTGTTGGCAAAATCCAGACTGGCCTGGCAGCCTGGGCCCACCTCTCCACACCCCAGCCATTCTTCTTTGTTGTCAAGAGAAAAAAAAATCAAGTCACACATTTTTAAATTCATGAATAAGAAAACAATACCATCCTATTTATATTTGCAAGAAAACTAAAACAATCCTCAAGTTAGATCGGCACGGCTGTCTTGGCCACTTTCTGTTTCCATAGCCACTAGGTCAACTTTCAAAATGAACATAAGCACTCACCTGTATTTTTCATAGATGAAATGAAACGGCAGGGTTTGGAATCTTGCATTTTATTTTCCATTCTCTGGGTAAAGTGAGGTTATTAAGTCACTCATTTGTTCTCTTGGTCTCTCTTCCATCCTCCTATAAGGTAAATGATATCTGGTTTTGACTACCTTCTTTGCACAAAATGTGTTATGCATTTTTAAAGAACAGCATAATTCACTCAGTTTTACTCACTGCAAGAATTCTCCTGGGAATGTCACAAAAGGACGTTCTTCTAACTTTTCTACCTCTACCATCCTCAATTTAAATAATGATTAAATGATTTAAATATGATTAAACTATGATAACAATGAATTATAAGGCTTCTTTCACATTTTTCTGCACGAGAAAAAACGTTTACTCGAGAAAAACCCATTTTACTATAGAGGGAAACCCATTTTACTATAAACAGGAGTCAAGAATGCCAATAAAATCAAAGAGCAATAAGGTCAATGGAAAGTGTCCACTAAACTCCTTTCAATGCTGGAATGCATCTTTGTTCTTAGGGGATTAGCAGATGGGTGAAGTCTTCATGGATAAAGGAGGCATCAGCTCTCTAGGATGTTCCCAGAACAACAAAAGAATGACAGAGGAGGCTGTTTTATTTGTGCATATAAAGACAAGAGGCCTGACTGCGTTTGCGTTTGCTGACTAACCCGTCAGTCACTCAGGAGGAAGCACACCTTTCCCTAAAGGATACCAAAATCTATTCTCCAATTGTGCATGCAAATCCAAACTACTGGCCATTTTCCTCATCTTTTCTACTTACCCTTTTCCAAGTCGTGGCTTACGCTCGTGGGCTCTGGCACCTCCTAAGTGGCCTCCTCTATCTTTTTCCCCTCTGGTGTGTCTGATCACCCTTTCAGCACTGCCAACGCAATGTCCTTCAAGTGCCCTCAGTCTGCACCCAGGCTCCTTCCTGCTTCCTCCCTCATTCCTTCACTCTTGTTAACTTTCTGAGCAGTCTTTGTTTATTTATGGCACATATTCCCGGTAGAAGTTATTTTCACATAGTCATGCAACATGTGTGACTTGCCAAGGCCACAGCATGTGTAGGAAACCAGTTTTCCCTTCCTCTGTCTCTGCCTGGCAGCCTATTGTCTCCTCCCATTAGCACCTGCAGCAAACTCACAGCCTAAAGTTGTGACAGTACCATGATATCCAAGGCAACCAAGAGCATGGTCCTAAACATAGAATTATTTCAATGCAAGACAAAGCGTAACACAAAGCTAAGTAAGAGGCGAACAAGGCAGATGCTTTAATATATGTCTTTATTAGTATTAAATTGAGTCAAAGTAATTTCTGGCTGTCATAAGAGTTCTTTCACAAATTATACAAAGTAGGAGCACTGTAAATTAAGAAATTGTATGGCCATGCCAAATTCCTGATAAAATGTATTAAAAGGATACTGAGAGGAAAAAAATAACTGAGAAAAGAATTTCTAAGCTGTCTTTGTCAAACACGATATCAGTTCTTTCTAAGTCAGAAGCACTGAACTAGAGGCAGAAATTATTATTACTCATTACTTTTAGTTCACATTGAATTAACTAGAGTTGAAATAATGTTTTCTTTAGTCATACACAATATATATGACTTCAGTCATAGCTTATGAGTGAACTATGAAATAATCTGTGTCATCATTATTGTAATAAGTCAAAAACTTTAAGTGACTCCCCACTACCGACACCCAGGGTAGTCTAGAGGGTGCTACAGACCTTCGCAATATCCACTAGTTCCACCAAAATCTCCTCAAATATCCACACAACCTAAATAAAAGCAGTGTGCTTGCCATACAAACACATCTTCATGACAATTTCTGCAGACATACACCTCCAACCAGGTTACTACCTCTAAACACCGTGAGTTATTCCTGGTCCTTCCTCTAAGATGCAGAAGTCAAGATGAGATTAAACGTACAAGGATTTTATTAGCAGAAATGCCTGTGCGAAAGGAAATATGGATGGAGCCAGGCAAGGTTAAGAGAGCTGACAGATCCACCTTCATTTGGGTGGAAGCATCCTAGACCCCTTTACTGTCTAAGGAAGGTTCAGCAAAGCTGTCTGGGAGTTCTTGAGCCCAAATCACAAAGTGTCTGTCTCCTGGAACAGTATGCCTTAGTATCCCCATTCCACCCAGTCATTGTTGGGGAGCAGCCCATGGGAGGCAAGATCCACAACGGATTCCAGAGTACAAAAGCTGGGGCCCTGGGACAACTGCTCCCTATGTAGGAGGTCTGAGAGGTGCATTCTCAGGTCCAACACACTACTCATAAATAGAAATTCAAAAGTTTACAGCTGTACAATAAATCTTGAGCCTGGCATCCAAAATTTCTCTGATGTCCACCTAACCTACATGCAAACCTTAATTGCTAGGACTTCCTTTTTTGACACCTTTACACTAGTCTAAGTACCCCCTTGGTCCCCATATGAGCCCCACAGATGATCAAAAATCTTTCTCGCATGCTGTCTCCTCCCTCTAATACTTTCCTCACCTAAAACCCTCTTTTCAAGATCCTACCTACTCTATAAGGTCCATCTGCAATGCCAATGCAACACTGAGACTGTCCTCAAAACTCTTCCCCTACCCTATCTGACCAACCCTTACCCTAGTACGAAGGTTCTCTCCTGCCTCAGAACTTCCACGGGACTTCACCAACTTGGAGATGGGCATTGAGAGTATTAAGCACTTTCTACTCATTTTAGTTGTTATAAGTTTTATCTCCATAGCAAACCCCAGGAAGGATTGTACACATTTCAAGTTTCTATTCCTATAATATTGTGCAAACAGTAAATTGAATAAATGAATGAATTAATGAAAGATAAATTCTGGTCTGGTGTATAGCTACTGACCCCAGACTAAAAATAAAGCTAAAAGACCTTTATTTCTTATTTTCATGTTTGTGATTTTTAAAAATTTTATAAGATAAACAGGAATTATCAAACCCAAAGTAATATTGATTCTAACATTCAAGGCAAAAACCCCCATAGGCCTGGGACGGGACATCATCACTGCTTCAGTCATGGAGAAATCCACACAGTATAATTAGCTGACATAAGAAATCAACCCAATAAATGACTATTTTGTGAGAGATTTAAATATAAGATCCTATTAAGTTAAACAAGGAGGCTATTAGACTGAGGCGGCTCTAATGAGTAAGCAAACCAAAATCTAAGCTTGTAAATATCTCAAGGTTATGAAACCAAAACACGAAGGACAACCAATCACAAACAGCCAACTAGGCTTAGCGCTATCCTTCTGCCATTTCTCTCCAAAATATTTCCCCAAGCTCCTGTTGGTGGAGTGTTCCTAACCACTTCTGGTTTGGCACTGCCTGATTCAAATAAACTTTTGCTCAAATAAACTCTTAAAAATTTTAATATGCCTCAGTTTATCTTTTAACAATCCTAATAATACCTCTTCAGCTATCTATCTCCTTTTCATCAGATATCACTTGTCTCAGATCTCAGTGTCAACCTCCTATCGGAGCTTTTGGCTCTTGATCACTTTTGTACCAAATATATTCACAATTAATATAAAGAAATAAAATCATTAAATGCCTTGAAGTTGCTTAAGAGTTCCACAGCAGAGATTTAACTTCTTCTTTATTAAAAAAATTAAATACTTTGGGAAAAATTTCAATTGAATTCAAGAGTCTTCGACTAAAAAGAAAATCTCCAGGTTGATTCTACTCTTAGTGAACAGAGAACCTTGTAAACTCTTCAGTAAAAGAACAATCAGTAGTAAATGAAGATTAATCAATCTTCATCTCTGAGGATAACCAGGAATTTGAGCTTTATAGAAAACCTTTAAAGCTCCTCCCACCTCACCTGAAGCAACGAAGGGATAATCTATTCCTAACTTGGTTTAGGAAAAATCCAACTGACTTATAAAACTTTTATCTCTTTCATAGGTTCATTTAAAATCAGGTTTCAAGAACCTCATAAGATGCTTCCAAGGCAGAAACATTCTCTCCAAGACAATTAATCTCTTTTAAATATCATTAAAGTGTGATTGGCGCAGAACCCTTGGGGAGCTGACACCCAGAGACAGAAGAACACATTACTAATAGCTAGTCAGGTGCCAACTGGCTCTAAGTTGCCAACTCCCTTTCCTGGAAAAACCAAGTGTATCTGAGCAGAGGGACCCTTGATGATAATCAGGAGACATTCTCTGGCATAAATATACCGCTTGGTAATGGAAGAATCAGGATTGTCAATGCCACCTGAGTCATGGGGTGGCTTCAACCACACAGTCTAGATATACACTGGAAGCTGACCTTCAGAAAAGCCTCAACCAAGTTCTTCTCCTTACACCTCAATCTCAGAAAGTTGATTAACTTGAGAGATAGTAACCACATGTAATGTTTCCTTAGAATAAAATAGACAGCCAAGAAACACAGCAACCCATTCTTAAAGAGAAAACAAATTGAGAAACTATTCTTTCCAAAATATATGCCTATTGTAGATTTCAAGTGGTCTGGCAAATGTGTTCTTAATTTTATATTGTCCTGAGAGTATCCTTGCTGCATTTAATTGCTAATTTGACTCATTGAAGTCAACAATAATTCTTGGAAGTTTGCAACACAAAGGCAGAAGTTAAGCAAAGTTGTGACAGTCCAAATGCTTAAGTATAAAGACCAGGAAAAGCATACCTCACAATATGAATATGTCCCCAAAGAAGGAGAAGGACATAGGCAAAGTGAAAACATCAGGAAACAGAAAGCTTTTCATTTGAAGTGGCAGCAGCAGCTCGTCTACACTCTATGGGAAACCACTTAATGTAACAAGGGACGGAGGCAGGGTGGTAGAAAAGATAACCCCAAAAGCAAAACTCTTAAAATACGTGGAAAAAGCAATTTCAGTAATTCCCCTGTGACCTTGAACCTCATAATTATTTCTAAAATAGTGATAAACTGAATAACAAAGCAATCTTAACTACTTAGCTTCTAAAACATGAAAAGGCAGAAACTCAAAGTCTTAGAAAGAGGCCTTCCTCACTTTACACAAAATGGAGGAAATCTACGATTCTAATATGGTTTTTATTTTTTTTAACTACTTTAGAAAATGTCCACCTCATCTCAAGAATCTGTCTCAAAATGA